ATATATATATATATTATAGAGACAATGCATAAGAAATTAACGAAAGACTTTCGTATGTATACCTGTTCTTCTAGGTTTTCCATCATCATCAAGCTCTAGATTGGCGTCTCCTTTTTCTAATGAAAAACTTTCTTCCTTTTCCATCCCTCTCACTCTCAATGTTGTTGAATGGGAGGGGAATAGTGAGAGTGTAGAAGAAGAAGAACAAGAACAAGGACAAGCAAAATAAGAAGAAGAAGAAGGCAATAATAATTGACATGAGAACATATTAATAGGCATAGTTGGTCCACAACAGTACCTCTAGTAATTTAATAGGGGAGTTACTCCCCGTTTGTATCTTGTGAGTTAATAATCTATTGTATATTACAAATAACAATGGCCACCTGGAAATATATTGGGATGTGTACAACTAGTTATAATTTGATATGATTTAGTAGTTAAGATTGTTTGATATACTTAATTTGAACATCTTTATATGGCTCTTAACATTTTTTGATCCCATTAATTTATAAGATTCATGAATAATGTCTCGTTTACATACACAGCAAAGCTTTAGGTATCTCAACTAAGGCCGAAAGAGATATACATTGTACAAGCCATGTTCGTAGCCAGGTGCAGTGGCGAATCCAGGATAAATATCAACTGGGGTCCCCCACATAACTAACAATAGTCCCTTCCGGCGACGGTGGTCGGAGATCCCTCAGGCAACTAGCATTCCCCCGGCAATGGCCGCAGGCAGCAGGAAGAAAGCAACAAACTAACGGTGGTTTCCTAAGAGTTATAAAAGTAGATGGAGTTTTTGATGGTGTTTTCAAAAGAAATGAAAAAAATCTGATGGTGAAAACTAAAATTGGGTAAAAATATATTCATTAGAGCATAAGTTTTAAATAAGAGAAGATGGTCAAGAGGATGGGCATCTACACAATTTAAAAGATTAAATAAATTTTTTTCTTAAAAATATAAGATGGGTCTTATTTTCAAGTGGGGGCCATGGACCTCATTACCGTATTGTTTCTACACTACATCCGCCAGATGGCAAGGCCACAATGATCATGCACACCATCCCACCACTTTCAGTGTGCAACAGTTGTGGTGGCCACTACTACAAAAAGGCTTATAAGACGCGGGTAAATCAACTAAATAACTCGGTTTTCAACCGGGTCTTATAGCCGACAAGTCCTATGTGCTAAATGAAATAAAACCCGGTTTTAAAACCGGCTCCTATCAACCTAAAGAGAACACAATTGTTTATAAAGTCAGGGTATATAAGAGGATTATAGAAGACAAAATCAAACCATACAAGCAGATTAGGTTGTGGTTCTATCACACAAAACCGGGGTCATATAACAAGATAAGAGCCCAGTTTCAATTCCCAAACATGGTCATACAACGATTAAATATGCACCGATTCCATTCAAATAACCGGGTCATATAGAGAATGTTGATTCTTTTTTTTTTGTTAAAATAACTATTGAGGCTTACATAAAAATTTCACTATGTTATAATTAACCTACACAAGTATATAAATTGCATCCAACACATTCAATACAAAAAGTATGCTATTATGAACAAATTATGTTAATGTAGACATGATAAGTAACCAACCATTATAGTCATTGATATAAGGTATCACAAAAAGTTTTTGATTTGATCATTTCTTGCTATATATAACTTACATTGTTATCACAATGCAGAAGGATTGTCCGATTATCAAGTGTAACAACTATCTTCCATCCTCACTGAATAACAAACACAACAAATAATCAGTTTTTTGTCTAACATTTCAAAACATATATATTAAACAAATAATTATTAAACTAAAAGTAGAATGTTATATCGATTAACAACTAACCTTATATGCACTTTTAGACAACATCGTTCATATAATTACTCAGAAATTCTCTAGCCCACGTAGCAACCGTCATAACCAATGCCTTTTCCTCTAAGGGAGTTTTTTCATTCCAAAGGGTATCAAACTATATGAAATATAAAATTAAAACTAATTAATAACATTTTAGATAATTTCTTGATACAGACAAAATAGAAAAAATATTTAATAAGTACTTACTCTATTTGGGAACCCATTGCCTGGTCATCTAAAAATCAAACATTCATTTCATTGCATAGTGACCACTCGTTGGATACCCAACTTGGTTCCACTAAATTTGTGATAAAAAGTAAACATAAAAAAGAAATATGAAACTACAACATATAAATTTGTAACGCCCGTTTCCTGATATTTATTTTAATAAGAATTATTCATTTTTGCAAATATACTCGATGAGTTGGAGGCCCCAAACTCGTCGAGTAGAAACAGATTTTTGGGACGCGGGACTTGAAGTCTACTCGACGAGTTGAGAAGCCACAACTCGACGAGTAGGGCTGCCAGAGTGAAACCTTAATTTTCAGGGTTTGCACCCTATTTAAGGACCTTAACACTTCATTGTGGCCTCCCTCATCGCTTCCCTCAGTCCAGCAAAACCCCAATTCATGATCTTGATCCTTTTGAGTGTGTGTGAGTGAAAGGGAGTGATTCTTTGGTATTTTCTTGAAGGAGTGGAAGCTAGACGTGCTTGGTTGAAGGAAGGGGCCTTGGATCCAGATATTTCGTTGTCCAAGCAGCCTTACTGAGGTATAAAGTCTATACCTTGACTATTCATTTACTAGATATCTTCATGGAGTAGTTTAGGGCGTTAAGGAGCATATTTCGGAACCATTCATGGATGCAAGCATGTTTTGGAGTTATGAATTCAGATATGGAGCCTTTGAGGGACTTCATGGCATAAAGGTGCCAACTTTATGGCCATGGGAGTCCCATGCAACTTGTGAATCACTTTTTAGGGCTTTTTGAGATAAATAACCCATGAATGGACGTAAAGTTAGAAACTTTACGTGATATATCAACCCTAGGGAACCATATCTATGGTTTGGAAGCTTAGAACCCGACTGGAAATGACTGAATGGATTTAGACTATGGTGGACTCGACGAGTAGTTCATACAACTCGGCGAGTTGGGTCGTGGTCCCCCAACCTTTTATGTTACTGAGCGAACTTGTTGAGTCTAGAAGATGACTCAGCAATTTGGCCGTGGTTTGGGTTATGAAGATTGAGGAACTCGACAAGTTCAAGGAGGGACTCGACGAGTTATGAGTAAAAGGTCCCGACTATGCTATGAGGATGAACTCGACGAGTTCATGAAAGAACTCGACGAGTAGGATCGAGATTTCTAGAGTTTTATGAATCATGGAACTCGACGAGTTCATGAAAGGACTCGACGATTAGGATCGAGATTTCGGGGTTTTATGGATTATGGAACTTGATGAGTTGATGGACCAACTCGGCGAGTTGAGTCAACCAGGATGTTGACTTTGACTTTGACCGTTGACCAGAGTTGACCCTTAAAGGGGTTATGAGTATGAAAGGGTAATTAAAGGAGATTGTTATGTGTAGGAGTTTGAGAGGAGTTGATCCCAGAGCCAAGGACAGTTCAGCTACTTCACGACATTGAGGTGAGTTACCTTCCAGTAGAAGTGGGTCGAAGGCATCAATGTCGACCCACTAATAGTTGATTATAGTAGAGATGATTGTCTTTGTGATAATTGTCTGGTATGACACTATCTGCTATGCTATTTGTGCTAGTATGCTATGATATTATGTGATAGTGGTAGGAAGGGGACTAGTCCCCGGACCCGGTTGAGATATACCGGTAGGGTAGGTCGGACACCCAGATATGCCTGACAGTATGATATTCTATGTTTTTATGTGGTAGTGGTAGGGGTGAAATAGTCCCCGTATCCGGTTGAAATAAACCGGAGGGTAGGTCGGGCACCCCGGTATGCCTGATAATGGTAAATATGCTCATCAGGGTAGGTCGGGCACCCAGATATGCTGGCAGTATGTTATTGTATGGTATGTGGTATGATGGGGGAACTCACTAAGCTTCGTGCTTACAGTTTTCAGTTTTTGTTTCAGGTCCTTCTTCGAAGGAAAAGGAGTCGGTACGGTAGCAGCGCATCACACACACGATTTTCCGCATATGAGGTTCTTGGGATTTGTACTCTAACGTTGTTACTATTTTATGACATGTTGTTGAGACATATGGTCTATGGTTTTTATGAAATGAAATAACTCGATAGTGTTTTCTTTAAATTGTTTTATGAATCGTTATATCAAAAATGAAATTTTTGGTCTTGAAATTTGGTTGTTACAATTGTTGACTAAGTTATAAGATAAATTACCTCAATGATCGTCCATGCAATTAGAGTTGATGTGTTTTTTTCATGCCTAGTAAAATCCATAAAAATAAACAAGTGGTTAAGTTGTGTTCAAGTTTATAGAAAGAATGTTATTTTCATGACATATAAAAAAAATTCTTACATGTCCACGAGTTTGAGTAGGTAATAGGTGTCGACAGGATTTTGTACAGGCTTCATCAAAGAATCTAAAATGTATACGACACGATTTGAAGGACAAATCACCGGGTAATATAACTTTACAGCTAAAAGAGCCGGTTGTATCATTAGAAACCGGGTTGTTTAGTTCACTCATATATACCAGTTCCTTTCCTTAAACTGGGTCATATAACTGTCCCCTTTATAAATCCTGGTTTTTCCATAATATGTCTCGTTTTTTTCATAAGTCGGGTCTTATATGACGAGTTCTATGTGACGTTTTGTAGTAGTGTGGTACGTTGTATTTACCACGACACACCACGTCCAATGAAAGGGTTTCAGCTTTAAATTCATTCTTTGACTAGTTGAGTAGTCGTTTAAATAACAATTTTTGTAAAAAAAAATTTATTATGAACTTAACTTATAAATTTACCACTTTATTACACTACTTTACCACCATTATTTTCTTCTTTTTTTACACATACATGCATACATTTTTCCAACTTACTCTCTATGGAACAAAATCCAAACATTACACCAAAAAATCGAATGATGAATATTGACGAACCATTTTCTTTAAAAAACGACACAACATCAATTTTCGAGCTTAGATTCACCATAAGGTGATTTCATAAACTTGCTCTAAAGCTACCCTATCCCATGACAACCAATTATCCAACATCCTTTTCCGCAACAATTTTTTTCCAACAACCCTTTTTTGTATAGCAACAACTGTCCGTGCAACCATAATTT